GGGGCGTGTCTTCCGCGCTGACCCCGCCCCCTCGCAGGGCTCCATCATCAGCAGCCCCGGCCGCAGGCGCGGGGGGGGCCGGCGGCGACCCCCGAGGGGGGCTACAAACCCCGGCCCGGCCGGTCTCCAACTCCTCCTCCTTCCTGGGCTCGCTCTTCGGCAGCCGCCGCGGGAAAGGCCCCGCGGGGCCCCCGCCGGGCGCGGGGGGTCCCACCTCGGCTTCAGCCTCCTCATCCTCGGCGTCTTCCTCGCATCACACCACCACCACCACCCCCCGCCCGCCGCGCCCCCCGAGGCTCCCTCCAAGCTGCAGGCGCTGCACGCCCAGTATTGCCACGGGGGTCCCGGGGGGGGGCGCGGCGGGAGCGGGCGGGGGTCCCGGCCCTCCGCCGCCCCCCCCGTACCCGCAAGCAGCCGCCCCCTCCCAGCCGCCCCGCGCCCCCCCCGCCGCTACCGGCCATCGCCGCCGGGGCCCCCCCGCGCTTCCAACGGCGGGCCCACCCCCCCGTTATCTGCGCCCCCACAACAGCACGGCCCCCCCGGCGGGGGGTTCCCCCCCCCGCACCCCCATTACACCCTGCACCGGCCCGGGAAAAGGGGGGGGGCTCCGCCCGGCGCCCCCCGGCAGCCGCTGTCCCCCCTGCCCCTCTACAGCCCCGCCCCAGCCCACCACGGGCTGTCCCACGCGTACCCCCCCGGACCCCCCCCCCACCACCACCCCCCGCCGCCCCCCGCCCCCGCCAAGCATTTTGTCTTTGGGGGGGGGGGCGGCGGAGTGGGGGTCGCGGCCGGGGGGGCTTTGAGGGGGGGAGGGGGAGGAGGAGGAGGAGGAGGAGGAGGAGGAGGAGGTGGAGCGGCGCCCCCTCCCCATCACCACCATCACCACCATCACCACCACCACGCGCCCCCCCACTCGCCCATCCCCCCCACCCTTCCTACCCCCCCTGCCCCCCCATCGCCCACACCCCCCTGAGCCCCCACTCGCCCGCCGGCCCCACATCGCCCCTGGCCCAGGCCGGCCAGGGCCCCCCCAAACCCAAAGGGGGGAACCGCATCAGCACGGTGGTCTGAGCGCCCCCCCCCCCCCCCCCCCCCCGGCCTGCTGGACGCGGTGGTTCTTTTTGTAACCCCCCCCCCACCCCATGTCCCCCCCAAAAACCATGTCCCCCCAAAAAACCAAAAAACCTGCACGTGGCTCGGGTTCGGCTGCTCGCGCCCCCCCCCCGGGAGCGTGGCTGGGGTGGGGGGGGGTCCCCGAAAAACCGGGTGACCCCCCCCATCCCACCACCATCCCGGGGGTCCGGCAGCGATGCTGCCCCCCCACCCCCACCCCCAAACCCCCCACCCCCCCGTTCCCAGCTCAGGCTGAATGTCACATGGCACTTTAACCTCCCCCCCCTCCTCCTCCGACCCCCGACCCCCCCCCCGGCCGCCTGGGGTCCCCCCGGGGGTTTTTTGGGGGAGGTCCCAAGCGGCCGGGCCCCCCCGGGGAGCCCCCCAGGCACCCGCATGCGCCCGCGCCGGGCCCTGTATATAGAGACTGTATATTTGATGCTTCATAAACGGACCGGCCGGCCCCCCCCGCGAGCGGTTTTTTGGGGGGGAGGGCACGCCTATGGGGGGCTATAGGGGGTGGATGGGGTGGGGACGGGGATAGGGGGATGGAAGAGGTCGGGGGGGTATAGGGGGTGTAATAGGGACCATGGGGTTGTGGAGGGTCTGGGGGCTATGGGGGCTGTAGGGGCTATGGGGGTTATTGGGGTCATTGGGGATATAGGGGCTATGGGGGCTATAGGGGCCATGGGGGTTATAGGGGTCTTTGGGGATATAGTGGCCATGGGGGTCATTGGGGCTATGGGGGCTATAGGGGTCTTTGGGGATATAGGGGCTATGGGGGCTATAGGGGTCTTTGGGGATACAGGAGTTCTGGGGGCTATAGGGGCCATGGGGGTTATAGGGGTCATTGGGCTATAGGGGCTATGGGGGCTATAGGGGTCTTTGGGGATATAGGGGCCATGGGGGCTATAGGGGTCTGGGGCTGTGGGGGCTGTAGGGGTCTTTGGAGCTATAGGGGCTATGGGGGCTATAGGGGTCTTTGGGGATATAGGGGCCATGGGGGCTATAGGGGTCTTTGGGGATATAGGGGCTGTGGGGGCTATAGGGGTCCTTGGGGATATAGGGGTCTTTGGGGATATAGTGGCCATGGGGGTTATAGGGGTCTTTGGAGCTATAGGGGCTATGGGGGCTATAGGGGTCTTTGGGGATATAGGGGCCATGGGGGCTATAGAGATTATGAATATTTTAGGGGCCATGAGGCCTATAGGGATCCCTAAAGCCTATAGGGGCCATGAGGCCTATAGGGGCCTTGAGGGCTATAGAGGCTATGGGGGCTATAGGGGTCCCTGAGGCATATAGGGGCCATTGGAGCTATAGGGATTATGAACGTTTTAGGGGCCATGGGAGCTATAGGGGTTGTTGGGGCTGTAGGGGTCCCTGAGGCTTATGGGGGCCGTGGGGGTTATAGGGGTCCCTGAGACCTATAGGGGTCCCTGAGGGCTATAGGGGCCCCTGAGGCCTATAGGGGCCACAGGGTTTATATAGGTCCTGGGGATCCTTAGGGGCTGCAGGACTACAGGAGATACGGGGGTCCTGTGGGTCTGTCGGGGTCCATAGGGGTCCCGTGGATCTATGGGGTCCAGGCAGTTCCATAGGGGTGGGGGTCTATAGGCTCCACAGGGGTCCTGGGGTCCTATAGAGCCTATAGGGTTCCTGGGGGTCCACAGGGATTCATGGGGGGTCAGTGGGGGTTTAGAGATTCCAAAGGGGTGCCGGGGGTCTATAAGGTTTGTGGGGCTCTATAGGATCCATGAGGGTCCCTGGGGGTCCATAGGTGTCCATAGGGGTCTATAGGGTCCCTAAGGGTCTATAGGGTCCATGGGGCTCTATAGGATCCATGAGGGTCCCTGGGGGTCCATAGGTGTTTATAGAGTCCCTAACGGTCTCTGGGGGTCCATAGCGGTCTATAAGGTCCATGGGGCTCTATAGACTCCATAAGGGTCCATAGGGGTCTATCGGATCCATAAGGGTTTATAGGGTCCATAAGGGTCTCTGGGGGTCCACAGGGGTCTATGGGGCTCTATGGGATCCATGAGGGTCCCTGGAGGTCCATAGGGGTCTATAGGGTCCATAAGAATCCATAACGGTCCATAGGGGTCTATGGGATCCATAAGGGTTTATAGGGTCCATAAGGGTCTCTGGGGGTCCATAGGGGTCTATGGGGCTCTATGGGATCCATGAGGGTCCCTGGGGGTCCATAGGGGTCTATAGGGTCCATGGGGCTCTATAGGGTCCCTGGGGGTCCATAGGGATCTTTAGGGTCCATGGGGGTCTCGGGAAGAGCGTGGGGGCGTGGCGTAAATGGGCGTGGCATCATCAAGACCCGCCCCTCTGCGTGGCCCCGCCCACCCCACTGCCGCCGGGCGCGCATGCGCCGTGCGTCCCTTTAAACGTGCACAACAAGTCCCGGCCCCTCCGCTGACCCAGCCGCGGAGGCGAGCGGTGCCGCGAATCCCTCCGCTGCGGAGGGGGCGGAGCCTGAGGGACTATTTCCCGTCCTTCATCCCGCCACACCGCCTCCCGCCACTCGGACCGCGGCAGGGAGGCTCCGGTGCTGTTCTCCCCTCTCTCTGTTCCCGCTCTCGCCGGCGGTCGCGGCGCTGTGGCGGCGCTCGGCGCCCGTCCCGTTCCCGCGGCGGAAGGGCACGCGAGATTACGGGGTGCGCGGCCGCGCCTGCGCAGTGCGCGCGTGCGCGCGGGCGGGGGGCGGGCGGCAGGAGGAGGAGGATCCAAGATGGCGGCGGCGGCCCGGCCGGGGGGACCGGGCAGGCCTCGACTGTGAGGCGGCCGGAGCGCGGGGCGGCGGGGCTGGACGGGCCGGTGGGGCGGCGGAGGGACCGCGGAGGGGCCGGCGGGTCGGCGGAACTCGCGGGTGTTGTCCTGACCTCCCGTTTCCCCGCGGTTGGAGTTGGGGGGGGAGGCGGCCCGCGGCCTGTGAGGGGGCGGCGCGGGGGCGGCGGGGCCTCCATGGCCCCCTGAGGGGGTCCCGGCGGGCAGCCCGGGAACCCCCCCGGCTCCCCTCGGTGCGAGGGATGGAGGAGGAGGAGCAGCAGCGCGCAGGGGGCGGCTGGGCCGAGTGGGGGCCCGGCTCGGCGGGGTCCCCGCCGTGGGTTCCCCCCCCGCCGCCCGACGGGGACGAGGAGCCCAAGCGCGGCCGCGGCGCGGACTGGGGGGGCCCGGAGCCCTCCGGGGACGCGGGGCCCTCCCGGCCGGCGGCAGCGCCCCCCAAAGCGGCGGGGGACGAGAAGGCTTCGAACGCCCCGCGCCCCCCACGGGCCGGGGGCGAGCCGCGGGGTAAGGGCGGCGGAGGACCCGGGAAAGGCCCCGGGGGGCGCCCGCCGGGCGAGGAGCGGAGCCCCCGCAAAGGCGCGGAGGAACGCGGGGCCCGCGGCGGGGAGCGGCCCGGCCCCGAGGACAGCAAGGCCCGGCGGCCCCTCGGGGGTCCCCGCGGGGAGTGGGGGTCGCCGTGGCTGGCGGGAGAAGCGGAGCCCCCCGAGGACTTTTTGCCCCCCCCGGAATGTCCCGTCTTCGAGCCCAGCTGGGCCGAGTTCAGCGACCCCCTGGGGTACATCGCCAAGATCCGCCCGGTCGCCGAGAAAAGCGGAATCTGCAAAATACGACCCCCGGCCGTGAGTATTTGGCGCGGGGGTGGGTTTTGGGGACCCCCTCGATGTGGGGAACCCCCGTCCCGTGGTGGGGAGGGGGATTTGGGGGTTCTCCGCTATCTCGGGTGTGGGGTTTGGGGTACGTGCCCCCACCCCCCCCCCCCACCTCACGTTGTCCCTTTGGTGGGGTCATTTCTGAATTTGGGGGGTGGGAATTGCCCCCCTCCACAGTTTTGGGAGCATTTTGGGGGGTTTGTCTCCCCTGGGGGGGGGGAAATATTTTCTGTTTTGGGGGATAATCGCTTTTATTAATTTGTGTTGGGATCGCCCCCGTGGGGTGGCACGATCCCACTTTGGGGGGGGGGGGAATTCTTTTCCCACCGGAGTAATTTGGTCTTTTTTTTGGTGGGGGAGGGGGTTAATGAATTAATTACCCCCCCCATGAGTAATTTCTAATTTTGGGGGGTGTAATGAACCCCTCCAGGGCTGTAATTCACCCCCCCCCCCCCCCCCATTCTCCTTCTGCATCCTGAGGGGAGTGGGAAATACCCCGGGGGGGGCATTTATGAATTTGGGGGGGGGGGGTGGGGGTGACCCAAATTTGGGGGGCTAAATACACACGGGGGGGGGGGGCTGTAAATGCCCCCTCCCCTTTTTAGGGATAATTTTGGGGGGGGGTAACCCAGATTGGGGGCTGGATTTTGGGGGGGGGGGGGTCCTTCACAGCCCAAACCTCGTGGTGGGGGAGGGGACCCAGCCCCCCGCCCCCCCCCTTTTCAGTCCCCCCTCCCCCAGCTCCACAACCCCTCGTTTTCGTGGGTGGGGGGGGTCTCGGTGCCCTCCGGGGGGGGGTCCCGGTGCCCTCCGGGGGGGTCCCGGCGCGCCCCCCCCGCGGCCTCACAACAACAACAGTGACACGGCCAATATGGCGCCAGCGCCGAGCCTTTGTCTGCGTGCTCGGGGGGGGGCCGGCCGCCCCGGGGGGGGGGCCCCGGCTCGACCGGCGACCCCCGGTGCTGGGGGAGAACCGGGGGAGAACCGTGTGGCCATCGGGGGGGGGGGCAGGTGGCGAGCGACCCCCCCCATCCCCACCGACAGCGCTCCCCCCTCTCCATTTCCCGGTTGGTTTCCTGTTTTTTTTTGGGGGGGGGGGGGGGTCGCGCTCTGTCGCCCCCTCGGGGGGGTCCCTTTGTCGCCACCCCGGGGGGGTCGGGACAGGCCGAGCCGGTCCCCCCCTGCTCGGTGAAGGCTTCCGGGAGGGCCGTGCCGGGCCGTGCTGGCGTCACCGGCCCCGCGGGGCACCCCCGGTGTCCCCCCCCCCGCCCCGCCGCCACCGGGGGTGCGGGGGTGGCTCTGGCTGGGGGGGTGGGCACGAATTTGGGGTGCGACCCCCACCCCCAAACTCCGTTTTCCTTCCAGCCTTCTCCAGGGCTGATCGTCCTGTGGGAGGTTGGGGGTGCTGAGACCTCCCCCCCCGAAATTTGGGCTGTGTGTTCTCTGCCCCCTAAAATTTGGGCTGTGTGTTCTCTGTGCCCCCCAAAAATTGGGCTGTGTGTTCTCTGTGCCCCCCAAAATTTACCCCCTAAAATTTGGGTTGTGTGTTCTCTGTGCCCCCCAAAATTTACCCTCCAAAATATGGGCTGTGTGTTCTCTGTGCCCCCCAAAATTTACCCCTCAAATTTGGGCTGTGTGTTCTCTGTGCCCCCCAAAATTTGGGCTGTGTGTTCTCTGTGCCCCCCAAAATTTACCCCTCAAAATTTGGGCTGTGTGTTCTCTGTGCCCCCCAGATTTGGGTTGTGTTCTCTGTGCCCCCCAAAATTGGGCTATGTGTTCTCTTTACCCCCCAAATTTGGGCTGTGTGTTCTCTGTACCCCCCAAATTTGAGCTGTGTGACCTAAATTTGGGGCACAAAACCCAAATTTGGGCTGTGCACTCTCCCTCCAGGACTCGGTGTAGGGGGTGTTGCTGCCGAACCCCCCTAAATTTGGGGATTTTTCCCTGTGGAGCTCCCAGCGCTGCCCTGTCTGTGCCACACTGGGGGTGCCCAAGGCTGCTGCCCCCCCAAATTTGGGCTGTGTGCCCCTCTGCCCGTCCCTGACCCCCCCGTTTTGCCCCCCCAGGACTGGCAGCCCCCCTTTGCTGTCGAGGTCGACAACTTCAGGTTCACCCCCCGCATCCAGCGGCTCAACGAGCTGGAGGTGAGCGGGGTGGGGCGAGGATTTTGGGGCTGATTTTGGGGGGTGCACAGGTCTCACCCACGTCTTTGCACCCCAATTTCCTCCCCCCCCTCCAGGCGCAGACCCGGGTGAAGCTGAATTACCTGGACCAGATCGCCAAATTTTGGGAAATCCAGGGTTCCTCCCTCAAAATTCCCAACGTGGAGCGGCGCATCCTCGACCTCTACAGCCTCAGCAAGGTGGGTGGGGGGGGGCAAAATGGGGGTCACACCTTTTGGGGGGGTTGGGGAAGGGGCCCCCCTCGGTGGAAATTGTCTTTATCCTGTTTTGGGAGTTCATTCCCCCAAATTTAGGGGTGTTTTCTGATCTGGAGGGGTGATTTTTCCTCTGGGGGTTTATTTTTTATTGGGGGGGGGTGATTGCCCCCTGTGGAGGTGTGTTCTCGTTTAGGGGGGGTTAATTGTCTTCTTTGAGGGTAGAAATTTATTTAATTTTCCATTTAGAAGTTTAATTGTGTTTTTGAGGAGTGTTTTGCATTTTTGGAAGATATTTTTTTATTTAGGGTGTTAATTGTATGGGAAAATCTTTTCTTTTGGGGTGTACCTGTTTTTCCTGGGGGAGCATTTTCTAATCAGAGAATTAATAATCAGAGAAATTCATTCTTTCTTTTGGGGCGGGGGTGGCTCTGGGGTGGCCCTTGGTGGCTTTGGGGTGTCCCCTCACTGAGGACAGTGTCCCTTCACCCAGGGGTGGCCCTGGGTGGCTTTGGGTGTCGCTCAGTGTCCCCTCATGGGTGGTGATGAGGAAGGTGGCTATGAGGGCATCTGCAAGGACCTGAGGTGGCCCTGGGTGGCTTTGGGGTGTCCCTTAGTGTCCCCTCACTGAGGACAGTGTCCCTTCACCCAGGGGTGGCCCTGGGTGGCTTTGGGTGTCCCTCAGTGTCCCCTTGTCCCCTCGCAGGTGGTGATGGAGGAGGGTGGCTACGAGGCCATCTGCAAGGACCGGCGGTGGGCGCGGGTGGCGCAGCGCCTCTCGTACCCGTCGGGCAAGAACATCGGCTCGCTGCTGCGGGCGCACTACGAGCGCATCATCTACCCCTACGAGATGTACCAGTCCGGGGCCAACCTGGTGGTGAGTGCCGGGTTTTGGGGGGGGCTTGGCGGGTACCCTGGACCCTGCTGAGGGTTCTGGCCCCGCTCGCCTCCAGCAGTGCCACGCGCGGCCCTTTGAGAGCGAGGAGAAGGACCGGGAGTACAAACCCCACAGCATCCCCCTGCGCCAGTCCGTGCAGCCCTCCAAGTTCAACAGCTACGGCCGGCGCGCCAAGCGCCTGCAGCAGGAGGTGGGCACCCCAGAATCCTCGCTGGGCACCCCAGAATCCTTGCTGGGCACCCCAGAATCCTCGCTGGGCACCCCAAATTCCTCCCTGGGCACCCCAAATCCCTCCCTGGGCACCCCGAATCCCCCTGGGATGCCCGAATCCCTCCCTGGGCACCCCAAATCCCTCCCTGGGCACCCCAAATCCCTCCCTGGGCACCCCAAATCCCTCCCTGGGCACCCCAAATCCCCCTGGGATGCCGAAATCCCTCCCTGGGATCTCCAAAATCCTCCTGGGATGCCCAAATCCCTCCCTGGGATCCCCAAAACCCTCCCGGGGGATCCCCCCTGACACGGCTGTCCCGCAGCCCGAGCCCACGGAGGAGGACATCGAGAAGAACCCCGAGCTGAAGAAGCTGCAGATTTACGGGGCCGGGCCCAAAATGTTGGGGTTGGGGCTGGTGGCCAAGGATAAAACCCTGAGGAAAAAAGGTATTGGGGATCCCTCCCTCATGTGGGGGTGCAGGGGCTGGTGGGACCCCTTAAATCTTTCTGGGAACCTCTGTGTCTTCTTGGGTTTTATTTTTTTGGGTTTTTAATTGTCATACCCTCACAGTTCTCGTGGGAGCCTCTTTACCCACAATTTGTTTGGGGTTTTTCCCAAATTCTTTCGGATTCTTCAGGGACTCTCCCCTTCTTGTCTCCCTCTCTGTTTTGGGTCGCACCTCCCAGAGTTTCTGGGCACCTCAAGTTTTTTGGGATGCCCTCCCACACCCTCAGGTTTTATGGGATATCTTCTTTTCAGTTCTTCAGGAACCTTCTCTCCCCTAGGACAGATTCTCCCTGGTGGGACAGACACCCCTCTCCCAGTCTTTAGAGACCCCAGTTTTTTAGGGAACCCCTTTTCCCCCCAGATTTTTAGGGAACCCCTTTTCCCCCCAGATTTTTAGGGAACCCTTTCTCCTCTTTTGCCCTTCCCATTTTTTTTTTGACACCCCCTCCCGTTTTTCAGGTCATTTTCCCCAGTTGTTCAATAACCCCACAAGGGATCAAAAACCTCCCAATAATTCAGAACTCTCCCAAATGTTCTGTAATTCCCCCTCCCAACTGCTCAATAACCACCTGATGGTTCATTGCTCCCCCAATTTTTCTGTAACACCCCAATAGTTCAGCACCCCCCAATTATTCAGTGACTCTCCAATAATTCAATAAATCCACAATGGTTCAGCACCCCCAAAAAGTTCAGTAACCCCCCAATAATTGAGTGCCCCCAATGATTCTGTAACCCCCAAAAATTTCAGTAACCCCCCCCATAGTTCAATCACTCTCCAATGGTGCTGTAACCCCCCTAAAGTAGGTTTAAGTTTAATAATAAAATAAAAAACAATAATAATAAAAATATGAAAATAATAATAAAATAATAAAAACAGTCCAGCACCCCCCAATCTCCCAGTAACCCCCAACCTCCCAGTACCCCCAACCTCCAGCACCCCCTAACCTCCCATTCCCCCCCCACGATCCATCACCCCCAAACCTTCCAGCACCCCCCAACCTCCCAGTACCCCCTATCTCCCAGCACCCCCCATGATCCATCACCCCCCAACCTCTCAGTACCCCCCCAACCTCCCAGTACCCCCAACCTCCCATTCCCCCCCCCATGATCCAGCACCCCCCAACCTCTCATTCCCCCCCCACCATCCAGCACCCCCCAGCCTCCCGGTGACCCCCATTTCCCCCGCAGACAAGGACACCCCCGAGTGTCCCCCCACGGTGGTGGTGAAGGAGGAGCCGGCGGGGGAGCCCCGGGGGTCGCCGGCGCTGCCGGGGCCGCGGGACGAGCTGCGCCACAGCCCCGAGCCCTGCACCAAGATGACCATGAGGCTGCGCCGCAGCCACAGCAACAGCCAGTTCGTGAGTAGGGCTGGGCTGTGGGCCGTGGGACCCCACAAAAACCCCAAAACCCTCGCCCCCAAACCCCCTTTTCCCTCCCCGCCAGGTGGATTCCTATGTCTGCCGGATCTGCTCGCGGGGGGACGAGGACGACAAGCTGCTGCTGTGCGACGGCTGCGACGACAACTACCACATCTTCTGCCTGCTGCCCCCCCTGCCCGAGATCCCCAAGGGCATCTGGCGCTGCCCCAAATGCGTCATGGCGGTGAGGGGGGCGCGGGGACACCCCCTGGCATCCGCCCCGCTGTGGGTCGCATCCCAGTTGTGGGGCTGGGAACCCCCACCTTGTGTGGTGGCCTGTGCTGGGAAGGGGTTTGGGTCTGTCTGTTTTGTGGGGCTGGGACCCCCTGATCTGTGGGGTTGGGACCCCCATCTGTGGGGTTTAGGGTCCCCCTGATCTATGGGGTTAGGGAGCCCCTGATCTGTGGGGCTGGGACCCCCATCTGTGGGGTTTAGGGACCCCCTGATCTGTGGGGCTGGGACCCCCATCTGTGGGGTTAGAAACCCCCTAAGGTGCTTTCTGTAGGATGCCCTAAGTATCCGGAGCTGTCCCCAGTGTCCCCTCCCAATGTCCCCAGTGACCCCCCCCAATGTCCCCAAGCCCCCTGACCCCCCCAATGTCCCCAGGCCCGCTGACCCCTCCCAGTGTCCCTGACCCCTGGTGTCCCCAAGCCCCCTGACCCCCGCAATGTCCCCTGACCCCCCAATGTCCCCAAGCCCCCTGACCCTTCCTGGTGTCCCCCCAGGAGTGCAAGCGGCCCCCGGAGGCGTTTGGCTTCGAGCAGGCCACGCGCGAGTACACGCTGCAGAGCTTCGGCGAGATGGCCGACGCCTTCAAGGCCGACTACTTCAACATGCCCGTCCATGTGAGCCCCCCCAAAACCCCCCCGGACCCCCAAAACCTGCCTGGAGCCCCCCAAAACCCCCCAGGCTCCCCTGAGCCCCCCAGGCTCCCCTGAGCTCCCCTCCCTTTGTGGAGGTGGGTGACGCCTTCAAGGCCAACTACTTCAACATGCCCGTCCACGTGAGCCCCCCCAAAACCCCCCCGGACCCCCAAAACTTGCCTGGAGCCCCCCAAAACCCCCCAGGCTCCCCTGAGCCGCCCAGGCTCCCCTGAGCCCTCCAGACTCCATTGAGCTCCCCTCCCTTCAGTGAGGTGGGTGATGCCTTCAAAGCTGAATACTTCAATGTGCCCGTCCTTGTGAGCCCCCCAAAATCTGCCTGAAGCCCCCCAAAATCTGCCTGGAGCCCCCTAAAACCCCCCCAAGATTCCCCTGAATCCCCCAGATCTCCCTCACTTCAGTGAGGTGGGTGATGCCTTCAAGGCCAACTACTTCAATGTGCCCGTCCATATGAGACCCTCAAAATCCCCTAAAACACCCCAAATCCCCCCAAACTGCCCCCAAATCCCCCCAAACCACCCCCAAAGCCTTGCCCTGCCCGCAGATGGTGCCCACGGAGCTGGTGGAGAAGGAGTTCTGGCGCCTGGTGAACAGCATCGAGGAGGACGTGACCGTGGAGTACGGCGCCGACATCCACTCCAAGGAGTTCGGCTCCGGCTTCCCCGTGCGCGACGGCAAACGGCGCCTGTCCCCCGAGGAGGAGGTGGGACCGGGCCTTGTCACCTGCTGGGGACAGTGTCACCTCCCCCGGGACACTGACAGGGACCTTGGCACCTCCTCCCCACCCTGGTGGCCCCTTCTCCCCATGGGGAGTGACCCTGTGGATGTCCCCTATCCCCATGGGGTGTGACCCAGTGTTCCCTTGTCCCTATCGGGAGTGACCCAGTGTCCCCTGTCCCTGTTGGGTGTCCCTGTCCCTATTGGGGGATGACCCAGTGTCCCCTGTCCCTGTTGGGTGTCCCTGTCCCTATTGGGGGATGACCCAGTGTCCCCTGTCTCCGTGGGGTGACGCTGTCCTGGGGGTGTCCCCGTCCCCGTGGGGTGACGCTGTCCCCGTGTCCCCAGGAGTATGCGGGCAGCGGCTGGAACCTGAACGTGATGCCGGTGCTGCAGCAGTCGGTGCTGTGCCACATCAACGCTGACATCTCGGGCATGAAGGTGCCCTGGCTCTACGTGGGCATGGTGTTCTCAGCCTTCTGCTGGCACATCGAGGACCACTGGAGCTACTCCATCAACTACCTCCACTGGTGGGCCCCGGGGGGGCGACTTCGGGGTGTCTGGGGGGGCCAAGAAGCAAATTTGGGGTGTTTGGGGGGTGTCTGGGGGGCCAGGGAGAGACTTTGGGTTGTTTGAGGGGTGTCTGGGGGGCCAGGGAGCAAATTTGGGGTGTTTGGGGGGCTAGAAGAGTGACTTTAGGGTATTTTGGGGGGCCAGGGAACAAATTTGGGGTGTCTGGGGGAGTCTGAGGAGCCTGGGGAGAGACTTTGGGGTGTCTGGGGGGCCCAGGAGTGACTTTGGGGTGTTTGGGGGGGCCCAGGAGTGACTTTGGGGTGTTTGGGGGGGGCCCAGGAGTGACTTTGGGGTGTTTGGGGGGCTAGAAGAGTGACTTTGGGGTGTTTGGGGGGGCACAGGAGTGACTTTGGGGTGTTTGGGGGAGCACAGGAGTGACTTTGGGGTGTTTAGGGGGCACAGGAGTGACTTTGGGGTGTTTGGGGGGGCTCAGGAGTGACTTTGGGGTGTTTGGGGGGCACAGGAGTGACTTTGGGGTGTTTGGGTGGCCAGGGGTGTGACTTTGGGGTGTTTGGGGGGGCCCAGGAGTGACTTTGGGGTGTTTGGGGGGGCTCAGGAGTGACTTTGGGGTGTTTAGGGGGTGTCTGAGGGGCCTGGGGAGTGACTTTGGGGTGTTTGGGGGGCCAGGGGAGAGACTTTGGGGTGTTTGGGGGGCCAGGAGGAACATTTTTGGGGTGCCCATGCCCAGGGGCGAGCCCAAGACGTGGTACGGGGTGGGATGAGGAGGTTTTAGGGTGGGATGAGGAGGTTTAGGGGTGGGATGAGGATGTTTTGGGGTGGGATGAGGATGTTTTGGTGTGGAATGAGGAGGTTTAGGGGTGGAATCAAGAGGTTTTGGTGTGGGATGAGGATGTTTTGGGGTAAGATCAGGACGTTTTTGGGGTGCCCACGCCCAGGGGCGAGCCCAAGACGTGGTATGGGGTCCCGTCGTTCGCGGCCGAGCACCTGGAGGAGGTGATGAAGAAGTTGACGCCGGAGCTGTTCGAGAGCCAGCCCGACCTCCTGCACCAGCTCGTCACCCTCATGAACCCCAACACCCTGATGGCCCACGGAGTACCCGTGAGTTTGGGGGGTCCCCACAGCCCCCCTGGATCTCATCCCCCCCTGCTGAGCCCAGGGGTGAGCCCAGGTGTGTCCCCAAGGTGGTCAGGACCAACCAATGCGCCGGCGAGTTCGTCATCACCTTCCCCCGCGCCTACCACAGCGGCTTCAACCAGGGCTACAACTTCGCCGAGGCTGTCAACTTCTGCACGGCCGACTGGGTGAGCTCTGGGGGCTCCAAAATACCCGGGGGGGCAGGAAATGGGCCTGGGAGGGGAGAAAATGTAGCTGGGGGGTGAGAAAATGTAGCTGGGGGGGCAGGAAATATATCTAAGGGGGTAGAAAATGTACCTAGGCGGGCAGGAGATGTGCCTAGAGGGGCAGGAAATATATCTAAGGGTGTAGAAAATGTAGCTGGGGGGGAAGAAAATGTACCTAAGAGTCAGAATATGTGGCTGGTGGGGGAGAAAAATGTACCTACAGAGGCAGGAAATGTACCTAGGGGGGCAGGAAATATATCTAAGGGGGTAGAAAATGTAGCTGTGGGGGGAGAAAATGTAGCTGGAGGGGGAGGAAATGTAGCTGGGGGGGAAAAAATGTAGCTAGGGGGGTAGAAAATGTAGCTGGGGGGGGAGAAAATGTGCCTAAGGGGGGAGAAAATGTAGCTGGAGGGGCAGGAAATGTAGCTGGAGGGGGAGGAAATGTAGCTGTGGGGGAGAAAATGTAGCTGGAGGGGGGAGAAAATACATCTGGGGGGGCAGAAAATGTACCTAGGGGGCACAAAAATACCTGGGGGGTCACACAGAATATCCAGAGGGATCAAAAAAAAAAAACTGGAGGAATGGAAAAAAAACCCAAAAATCTCAAGGGAAACGATAAAATCTGCAACAAAAGGAAGGAAAAAAAAGCACTGAAGGGAACCCCCAGAAGCTCCAGGCTGGGTTTAGGGGTGCAGGGTTTGGGGTTCGTCAGGTTTGGGGGGTCAGCACTGGATTCAGGGCTGCGTTTAGAGGTTCCCCCAGATTTTGGGGACACCGCTGACCCCCCAATCCCTTCCAGCTCTCTCCAGTGCATTGAGCACTGCCCAGTTCAGGGACTCAGTTCCCAGTTTGAAGGGATCCCAGTTTGAGTGTTCCCAGTTTGAGGTCTCACCCCAGCTGAGTTCAGGGTTACATGTAGGGGTTCCCCCAGATTTTGGGGATCCCCCTGACCCCCCAATCCCTTCCAGCTCCCCGCGGGCAGGCAGTGCATCGAGCACTGCCCAGTTTGAGGGACTCAGTTCCCAGTTTGAGGGGCTCCCAGTTTGAGGGTTCCCAGTTTGAGGGCTCAGCACTGGGGGTACCCAGCTGGGTTCAGGACTATATTTAGGGGTCCCCCCAGATTTTGGGGATCCCCCGACCCCCCCAATCCCTTCCAGCTCCCTCCAGTGCATCGAGCACTGCCCAGTTCAGGGACTCAGTTCCCAGTTTGAGGGTTCCCAGTTTGAGGGGATCCCAGTTTGAGGGTTCCCAGTTTGGGGGCTCAGCACTGGGGGTACCCAGCCGGGTTCAGGGCTGTGTTTAGGGGTCCCCCCAGATTTTGGGGATCCCCCTGACCCCCCAATCCCTTCCAGCTCCCCGCGGGCAGGCAGTGCATCGAGCACTACCGCCGCCTGCGCCGTTACTGCGTCTTCTCGCACGAGGAGCTGATCTGTAAGATGGCCGCGAGCCCCGAGAAGTTGGACCTGAACCTGGCGGCCGCTGTGCACAAGGAGATGTTTGTGCTGGTGCAGGAGGAGCGCAAGCTGCGCAAGGCCCTGCTGGAGAAGGTGGGGCACCCTGAAATTTGGTGAAGGGGTGGGGATGGGGAGGGGGAAGTGTAAAGGTTGTGAGATGTGAGGGGTTGGGGCACCCCAAAAGCGCTGGGGAGGGGGTGAGGGTTGTGTTTGTGCCTCCCTTAGGGGGTTATGGGGGTGTTAGGGGCACCCCAAAAACTCTGGCAATGAGGTGAGGGTTGTGTTTGGTCCCTCTAGGAGGTTATAGGGGTGTTAGGGGCACCCCAAAAGCGCTGAGGAGGGGGTGAGGGTTGTGTTTGTGCCTCTTTCAGGGGGTTATGGGGGTGTTGGGCACCCCAAAATCTCTGGGGAAGGGGTGAGGGTTGTGTTTGTGCCTCCCTTAGGGGGTTGTGGGGGTGTTGGGCACCGCAAAATCTCTGGGGAGTGGGTGAGGGTTGTGTTTGGTCCCTCTAGGAGGTTATAGAGGGGTTAGGGGGTGCTGGGGGCACCCCAAAATCTCCATGGGGGGGTTCTCATGTCCGTGTTTTTACCCCCCCAGGGCATGATGGAGGCAGAGCAGGAATGCAGGGAGGAATGCCAGAAAATTGGGGAAAATCTGAGGGAATTTTTATTCCTCTCAGGGGATCACGAAGGGATTGGGGGTGCTGGGGACACCCCAAAATCCCCATGGGGGGGTTCTGATGTCCGTTTTTTGGCCCCCCCAGGGCATCACGGAGGCGGAGCGCGAGGCCTTCGAGCTGCTGCCCGACGACGAGCGGCAGTGTGACAAGTGCAAGACCACTTGTTTCCTGTCAGCCCTGGCCTGCTACGACTGTCCCCAGGGCCTCGTCTGCCTCTACCACATGGACGACCTCTGCAAGTGCCCCCGCAGCAAGCAGTACCTCAGGTGGGGGGCTGGGGGGCTCGGGGGGTCCGGGAGAGGGGGTTGGAGGGGTGGGAGAGGGGTTTTGGGGGGGTTTGGATGGGGTTTGGGGGGTTTGGATGGGGTTTGGGGGGGTTTGAATGGGGTTTGGGGGGTGGGAGAAGGGGTTGGATGGGGTTTGGGGGGTGGGAGAAGGGGTTGGAGGGGTGGGAGAGGGGTTTGGGGGGGTTTGAATGGGGTTTGGGGGGTGGGAGAAGGGGTTGGATGGGGTTTGGGGGATGGGAGAGGGGGTGGGAGGGGGGTCTAGGGGATTTGAATGGGGTTTGGGGGGATGGGATAAGGGTTTGGGAGATGGGAGAGGGGATTTGGGGGGCTTTAAATGGGGTTTGGGGGATGGGAGAGGAGGTTTGAATGGGGTTTGGGGGGCTTTGAATGGGGCTTGGGGGGGTTTGAATGGGGTTTTGGGGACAGGGAGACGGGTTTGGGAGGCTTGGAAAGGTGTTGGGGGTGATGGGATGGGGTTTGGGGGGCTGGGGACCTCGAGGGGGGGACATGGGGATGGTTTGGAGGGGCTCTCATAGATTTGGGGTGGGGGATTTGGGGCCTCGTTGTGACCCATGGGGTTGAGCTGGGGGTCTGTGGGTCCTGGTGTGACCCTGAGTGAAGCCCTGGGTATGATTTTCAGGTGCTGCAGATCTCGGGGTGTCCCTGGGGTGGCCTTGTGGGGGGGGGACACAGCCACAACCTGGGGTCTCCTCTGCCGATTTGTGGTACCGCCACCCCAAAATCCCCCCCAAATACCCCATCAGCTCAGCCTGGGGGTGCTGTTTGTACTTTTGGGGGGTCGTGGGTGCCCGGGGGAGTCTCGCAGTGACCCCCAGTGCCCCCCCAGGTACCGCTACACCCTGGACGAGCTGCCGGCCATGCTGCACAAGCTCAAGGTGCGCGCCGAGTCCTTCGACACCTGGGCCAACAAGGTGCGCATCGCCCTGGAGGTGGAGGACGGCCGCAAGCGCAGTGAGTGGGGGTCCCGTGGTGGTGGTGGGGTGGGGTGGGGTTTTGGGGGGCTCTAAAGGGGGGTTTGGGGGCTCACAGCTCAGCCCTGACCCCCCGGCTGTGCCCGGGCAGCGCTGGAGGAGCTGCGGGCGCTGGAGTCGGAGGCGAGGGAGCGCAAGTTCCCCGAGAACGAGCTGCTGCACCGCCTCAAGGGCTGCCTGGGCCAGGCCGAGCGCTGCGTGTCCGAGGCCCTGGGGCTCATCAGCTCCCAGGAGACCGGGTGAGTGTCCCCTGAGTGTCCCCTGAGTGTCCTCAGCAGCTCGGTGTCACCGTCACCGGGCGCTGTCCCTGCGTGTCCGGCCCGAGGCACGACCTACTCGGTTTGCTGTGCCTGTTGTGCTTTGGTGTCCCTGTCCTGTCCCCATAAAAGCTGGACACTCCTGTGTCCGTGTCCTGGACACTTCCCTGTCCCTGTCCTGTCCCCTGTGGGTCCTGGACACTCCTGTGTCCCTGTCCTGGCCACTCCTGTGTCCCTGTCCTGTCCTCTGTCCATCCTGGACACTTCCATGTCCCTGTCCTGTCCCCTGTGGGTCCTGGACACCCCTGTGTCCCTGTCCTGGACACTCCTCTGTCCCTGTCCTGTCCCCTGTGGGTCCTGGACACTTCCCTGTCCCTGTCCTGTCCCCATAAAAGCTGGACACTTCCGTGTCCCTGTCCTGTCCCCTGTGGGTCCTGGACACTCCTGTGTCCCTGTCCTGGCCACTCCTGTGTCCCTGTCCTGTCCTCTGTCCATCCTGGACACTTCCATGTCCCTGTCCTGTCTCCATAAAAGCTGGACACTCCTGTGTCCCTGTCCTGGACATTTCCATGTCTCTGTCCTGTCCCCTGTCCACCCTGGGCACTCCTGTGTCCCTGTCCTGCACCCTCCTGTGTCCCTGTCCTGTCTCCATAAAAGCTGGACACTCCTGTGTCCCTGTCCTGGACATTTCCATGTCCCTGTCCTGTCCCCTGTCCACCCTGGGCACTCCTGTGTCCCTGTCCTGCACCCTCCTGTGTCCCTGTCCTGTCTCCATAAAAGCTGGACACTCCTCTGTCCTGTCCTCTGTCCATCCTGGACACTTCCATGTCCCTGTCCTGGACTTCCCTGTCCCTGTCCTGTCCCCATAGATCCTGGACACCTCCATGTCCCTGTCCTGTCCCCATAAAAGCTGGACATTTCCATGTCCCTGTCCTGTGTCCATCCTGGACACTTCTGTGTCCCTGTCCTGTCCCCTGTCCATCCTGGACACTTCTGTGTCCCTATCCTCTCCCCTATGGGTCCTGGACACTCCTGTGTCCCTGTCCTGGACACTTCCCTGTCCCTGTCCTGTCCCCAGGGGGACACTGGACACTTCCATGTCCCCATTCTGTTCCCTGCAGCCCTTCCATACGTCCCCATGTCCCCATCCCATCCCTGTCCCCGTGTCCCTGCAGTGTCCCCTCGGTGCCACCGTCCCCAGTATCCCCTCGGTGCCACCATCCCCGGTGTCCCCTCGGTGTCCCCTCGGTGCCACCATCCCCAGTGTCCCCTCGGTGCCCCCTCGGTGCCACCGTCCCCGATGTCCCCTTGGTGCCACCGTCCCCGGTGTCCTCTCGGTGCCCCCTCGGTGCCACTGTCCCCGGTGTCCCCTCGGTGCCCCCTCGGTGCCACCGTCCCCGGTGTCCCCGCAGGGTCCCCACGCCGGCGCTGACGGTGGAGGAGCTGCGGGCGTTCCTGGAGCAGATGAACCAACTGCCCTGCGTGATGCACCAGATCGGGGACGTGCAGGTGGGACAGGGCCACACGGGGTCCCTCGGTGTCACACGGGGTCCCTCGGTGTCACACGGGGTCCCAGAGGTGTCACACGGGGTCTCTTGGTGTCACACGGGGTCCCAGAGGTATCACATGGGGTCCCTGGGGTGTCACACGGGGTCCCGGGGTGTCACACGGGGTCCCTGGGGTGTCACACGGGGTCCCAGGGGTGTCACACGATGTCCTAGCAGTGTCCCACCATGTCCCGGGATGTCCCAGGGGTGTCACGCAGTGTCCCAGCAGTGTCCCACCGTGTCCCAGGGCTGTCACACAGTGTCCCAGGCCTGTCACACGATGTCCCAGCAGTGTCCCACAGTGTCCCATGGTGTCCCAGCAGTGTCCCAGGGCTGTCACACTGTGTCCCAGCAGTGTCCCACGCTGTCCCAGCGGTGTCACACGATGTCCCAGCAGTGTCCCACCATGTCCCGGGATGTCCCAGGGGTGTCACGCAGTGTCCCAGGCTTGTCACGCAGTGTCCCAGGGATGTCCCAGGGCTCTCACACTGTGTCCCAGCGGTGTCACACCGTGTCCCAGCAGTGTCCCAGGGTGTCACACCCTATCCCAGGGCTGTCACCCCCTGTCCCAGCTGTGTCCCCTCCCCGTGTCCCCGCACAGGCGCTGCTCCAGCGAGCACAGGCATTCCAGGCGGAGGCTCGGGCAGCACTGGGGACACCACAGGGTGTCTTAGGCCTGTCACCCCCTGTCCCAGCAGTGTCACCTCCCCGTGTCCCCGCACAGGCGCTGCTCCAGCGAGCACAGGCATTCCAGGCGGAGGCTCGGGCAGCACTGGGGACACCACAGGGTGTCTTAGGCCTGTCACCCCCTGTCCCAGCAGTGTCCCAGGGCTGTCCCACGGTGTCCCAGCAGTGTCCCCTCCCCGTGTCCCCGCACAGGCGCTGCTCCAGCGAGCACAGGCATTCCAGGCAGAGGCTCGGGCAGCACTTACCGAGCCCGGCCCGGGCCCGGGGGCTCTGCGGGAGCTGCTGGAGCGGGGGTCCCGCCTGGGCGTGGAGGTGCCCGAGGGCCGGCGGCTGGAGCGGCAGCTGGCCCAGGCGGCCTGGCTGGAGGAGGTGACGGCCACGCTGCGCTCGCCCCGGGCCCGCGTCCCCCTGCCCGCCATGCGCGGCCTCATCCAGGCCGGCCGCACCGTGGCCCCCAGCCCCGCCGTGGACGTGGCCATGGCCGAGCTGCAGGAGCTGCTGACCATCGCCCAGCGCTGGGAGGAGAAGGCCCAGATGTGCCTGGAGGCCAGGTCAGGGGGAGGGACCCCTCCTCGGGGGGAGAAAAAGGGGCTGGGGGCTGCCCCTTGTGTCTTTGGGGGGATAAAAAGGGGCTGGGGGCTGCCCCTTGTGTCTTTGGGGGGATAAAAAGGGGCTGGGGGCTGCACCCGAGAGGGTAGAGGGGGCTGGGGGCTGCCCCTTGTGTCTCTGGGGGGATAAAAAGGGGCTGGGGGCTGCCCCTTGTGTCTTTGGGGAGATAAAAAGGGGCTGGGGGCTGCCCCTTGTGTCTTTCAAGGGTTATAAAGGGGCTGGGGGCTGCCCCTCATCTCTCTCAAGGGTTATGAAGGGTCTGGGGGCAGTTAGAAAGGGTCTAGGGGCTGCCCCTTGTGTCTTTGGGGGGATAAAAAGTGGCTGGGGGCTGCACCCGAGAGGGGAGAGGGGGCTGGAGGCTGCCCCTTGTGTCTTTGGGGGCATAAAAAGGGGCTGGGGGCTGCCCCTTGTGTCTTTCAAGGGTTATAAAGGGGCTGGGGGCTGCCCCTCGTCTCTCTCAAGGGTTATGAAGGGTCTGGGGGCAGTTATGAAGGGTCTGGGGGCTTCCCCTTCATGTCTTTCAAGGGTTATAAAGGGGCTGGGGGCTGCTACTTGTGTCTTTGGGGGGATATAAAGGGTCTGGGGGCTGCCCCTTGTGTCTCTCAAGGGTTATAAAGGGTCTGGGGGCTGCCCCTTGTGTCTCTCAATGGTTATAAAGGGTATGGGGGCTGCTTCTCGTGTCTCTCAAGGGTTATAAAGGGTCTGGGGGCTGCTCCCCACATGCCCAGGCAGGGATAAAGGGGCTGGGGGTGTCTCTGTGGGGAGGGGGATGAAGGTTTGGGGTTCAGCCGCTGCTCAGCGGTTCCTGCCCGGGCTCGGGGAGTGTCGGGGGGGGTCTCTGGGGGTGTCGGGGTTGATATCTGGGGGTCTCTGGGGGTCTGTTGAGGGTCTCTGGGGGTGTCGGGGTTATCTGGGGGTGTCGGGGTTGATATCTGGTGGTCTCTGGGGGTCTTGGGGGAGTCTCTGGGGGTCTCTAGAGGGTCCCTGTCCCCCCCCGCAGGCAGAAGCACCCCCCGGCCACGCTGGCTGCCATCATCCAGGAGGCCGAGAACATCCCGGCGCTGCTGCCCAACATCCAGACCCTGAAGGAGGCCCTGGGCAAGGCTCGTGCCTGGATCGCTGACGTCGAGGAGATCCAGGTGGGGCTGGGGACCCCCGGGACCCCCCCCGGGGGGCTGGGGCCCCTGGGACCCCTCACTGCACCCCCCCGAGTGTCTGGGCTGTCCCCTTGGACGGCCTCGTGTCCTTGGTCTGTCCCCAGGGACAACCCTGGGTCCCCATGGACACCCCTGTGTCCCCATCCTGTCCCCATGGACACCCCTGTGTCCCCATCCTGTCCCCACAGACACCTCCCTGTCCCTGTCCTGTGCACATCCCGTCTGCCACCGTGTCTCCATCCCATCCTGTCCCTGTCACCGTGACCCCACCGTGTCCCCATCCCTGTCCCTGTCACGATGATCCCATCCTGTCCTTGTTCCATCCCCGTCCCTGCCACCGTGTCCCCATTCCTGTCCCATTCCTGTCCCTGCCACTGTGACCCCACCATGTCCCCATCCCCGTCCCTGCCACCGTGTTCCTGTCCCTGTCACTGTGTCCCACTCCTGTCCCATCCCCGTCCCTGCCACCGTGTCCCCATCCCTGTCCCCTCCCCGTCCCTGCCACATCCCCACGGCACACCCAGCCCCCTCTCCCAGCCCACCCGTGTCCCCGTGTCCCCAGAACGGTGACCACTACCCGTGCCTGGACGACCTGGAGGGGCTGGTGGCCGTGGGCCGGGACCTGCCGGTGCGGCTGGAGGAGCTGCGGCAGCTCGAGGTGCAGGTGGGCACCGCGCACTCCTGGCGGGACAAGGCCTCCCGCACCTTCCTCAAGAAGAACTCCTGCTACACCCTGCTCGAGGTGGGTCTGGGGGTGCTCTGGGATTTTGGGGGGGGGGGTCCCAGCAGGGCGCTGAACCCCCCGGGTGTCCCCAGGTGCTGTGTCCCTGCGCCGACGCCGGCTCGGACAGCAGCAAGAGGCTCAAGTGGCGGCAGGAGCCGGGGCTGTACCGGCTGGACGCCGAGAGTTTGGGGCTGTCGGCGCAGGACCTGCGGGACCCCGGTGCTGTGGTGAGGAGTGGGGGGTTGTGGGGGGTTGTGGGGGGCACTCCGGGACCCCCAGAGCTGGCACTGCTGCTGTCCCTGCTGTCCCCACCTCGGGATTGGGGTGTTCGGGACACCCAACCTCGATTCCTGTCGCTGCTCGCGTTCCTTGTTGTCCCTACATTGTGGGGTTTGGGGGTGGGGTGCACCCTGTGACACCCCCTAACCCCATCACTTCCCCCCCTCCCTGCTGTCCCCCACCTCAGATTTTGGTGTTCAAGGGTTTGGGGTGGGGGGCACCCACGTTTCCCCCAGTCCCTGTCCCCCCTCAACCCCCCCCCAGCTCCTCAAATCGACATTCAGGGGTTTGGGGTGGGGGGCACCCCCATTTCCCCCATCCTCCCTCACCCCCTGCTGTCCCCCACCCCAGATTTTGGTGTTCAAGGGGTTTGGGGTTGGGGGTCACCCCCATTCCCCCCTCACCCCCTGCTGTCCCCCCAGATCGTGGCGTTCAAGGAGGGCGAGCAGAAGGAGAAGGAGGGCATGCTGCGCCTCCGCCACGCCAACGCCCAGAAATCCGCGCCGCCCGTGCCAGGCCCGGGGCCGCCGTCCTGCGTGTGCGGGCAGCCCGCGGGGCCGGGCATGCTGCAGTGCCAGCTCTGCCGGGACTGGTTCCATGGCTCCTGCGTGGCCTGGCCCCGCCTGGGCAGCCAGAAACCATCGCCGGCCTGGTGGGAGTGGGACGCCAAGTTCCTGTGCCCGCTGTGCCAACGCTCGCGGCGGCCGCGCCTCGAGACCATCCTGGCGCTGCTGGTGGCCCTGCAGAAGCTGCCGGTGCGGCTGCCTGAGGGCGAGGCCCTGCAGTGCCTGACGGAGCGGGCAATCACCTGGCAGGACCGTGCCCGCCAGCTCCTGGCATCGCCCGAGGTGGCCGGGCCCCTGGAGCGCCTGGCGGCCCTGCGGCACCGGCTGCACGGCGACGGCGACGGCGCCCTGCGCGAGGCCAGCCGCAACGAGCAGACCAAGGTGGGCACCGGGGGGTTTGGGGGGGATTTATGGGGGTTTGGGGGAGATTTAGGGGGAATTTGGGGTGTTGCCAGCTGCATCGAGCAGACCAAGGTGGGCACCGGGGGTTTGGGGGAGTTATTGGGAGGTTTGAGGGAGATTTATGGGGGTTTGGGGGAATTTGGGGGAGATTTATGGGGGTTTGGGGGAATTTGGGGTGTTAGGATCATGCACAAGGCCAGCCGCAACGAGCAGACCACGGTGGGCACCAGGGGTTTGGGGGAGTTATTGGGGTTTGGGGAGATTTATGGGGGTTTGGGGAAATTTGGAGGGAATTTGCGGTGTTGGGATCCTGCTTGAGCAGACCAAGGTGGGGATCGGGGGGTTTTGGGGAGATTTATGGGGGTTTGGGGGGAATTATGGGGGTTTTGGGGGAAATTGTTGGGTTTTGGGGGGATTTGTGGGGGTTTGGGGGATCTATGGGGGTTCTGGAGAGACTCGGAGGGAATTTGGGGTGTCGGACCCCTGCGCAAGGCCGGCCACGAGGAGCAGAGCAAGGTGGAAGAGTTTGGGGGTCAATGGGGAGGTGTGGGGCAGGTTTTGAGGTTCTGGGGCAGGTTTGGGGGCGGTTTTGGGGGGCTGAGCCCCCCAGAACAGCTTCCCCGTGTCCCCCCCAGGTGTCGGTGGAGAACGGGGACGCCCCCAGCCCGGAGAAGAACGGACCCCTGCCCTCGGGTGAGCGGGGCCGGGGACCCCCGGGAGGGACCGGGGGCTGGGGGGTCCCTGCGGTGTCCCCACGGTGTCCCTGTGGTGTCCTCAGGATGTCCCCATGTCCCTGTAATGTCCCCACGATGTCCCCACGATGTCCCCACGGTGTCCCCGCAGAGCTGGAGGCGCTGAGCGCGGCGCTGCCGCGGCTGCAGGGCCCCGTGCTGGAGTTGGCCGAGGCCACGCGGCGGCCGCTGGAGGAGCTGATGATGGAGGGGGACCTGCTGGAGGTGACGCTGGATGAGGCCCAGAGCATCTGGCGGCTGCTGCAGGCCACGCGCCCGCCCCCGCTGGCCCTGTTCCGCCTGCTGCTGGAGGTACGGGCACCCCGAAACTGCGCGGGGACCCCAAAACTGCCCGGGCACCCCGAACCTGCCCAGGGAGCCCAAAACTGCCCGGGGACCCCAAAACTGCCTGGGGTACAGAGCACACCCACAAACCTCCCTGAGATACAGAGCAACACCCCCAAAACTGCCCGGGGACCCCAAAACTGCACAGGGACCCCCAAAACCTCCCTGGAGAACAGAACACACCCCCAAAACTGCCCGGGGACCCCAAACCTCCCTGAGATACAGAACCCCCCAAAACTGCCCCAGAACCCCCCAAACCTCTCCAGGGACACACAGCTCCCCAAACCTTCCCTGGAGGCAGAGAACCCCAAAACCTTCCCCACAGAACCCTCCCAAATCTGCCCCCAAACCACCCCAGAACTCCTCCAAAGCATCTCCAGGAGCCTCAAACTTGCCCCAAAACCTCGCAGGGGACCCCAAATTATTCCCCAGGACTCCAAAACTCGCCCCAAACACCCTGAGGAGCCCAGAACTACCCCAAATCTTCTCCCTTGAGCCCCAAAACTGCCCCAGCCTCTTCTGGGCACCCCAGAACTATCCCAAAGCGCCTTCTTTGAACCCCAAAACTGCCCCAACCGCTGCGGGGCACCCCAAAACTGCCCCCAGATCATCTCTTAAAGGTCTTAGTGACCCCCTCAAATTCCCTCAGAGACCCCAAAACCAGCACCATGCAGCTCCTCGTGGTGGGGCTCCCCAAAAATCCCCTCTGGCGACCCCAAAACTCTCCCCATGCCCTTCCTTTACCCCTTACCCCCAACCCTTTGGGGTGAGGGTCCCCAAAACCTTTTAGAGACCCCCCCCCCACCCCAAATCCCTCCTTCCGCTTCTGTTCCACCACCTCCCCCCACCCTGGGCACCCCAAACCCGGCCTTGCCCTGGCAGCCCAGCCCCTCTGCTCCCCAATTTTGGGGGGCTGATGGGGTGTCCCCCCCTGCAGCTGGAGCAGGCGGAGCGTCGGGGGGCTCGGGCCCGCGGCCGGGACCCCGAAAGGCGCCGGAAGCGCCGGGCGGAGCGGGGGCACCTCCCCTCCCTGGCCAAGGAGGAGCTGGAGCCAAAGAGGAGTCGGGGTCCCGAGGGGGGGGACCCCCGGGACAGCCCCACGCCCGGCCCCCAGACCCCCGGGGTGAGCGCTGGGGCTTGCCGGGGGGGGTTGTGGGGTACAGAAGGGGTTAATGGGGGGATTGTGGGGTCCAGGATGAAAATTTGGGAGTTTTTGGGGTGAATTACGGGGTGAGAGGGATCCTGGATGAGCACAGGAGGATTTTGGGGTGCAGGGGCGAGGCTTTGGAGTGGGGGGGGGGGGTTCCCCCATAACCAGGGATCAATGGGGTTACTTATGGGGTGCCGAAATTTTGGGGTTGTCCCCCCCTAACCCCATCCCCCGTGTCCCCCCCAGGACTCGTGACGTGGAGCCCCCCCAGCTCGGACGGACGCGGCTGACACGGTGGGGATGGACTTGGGGGTCCCCCCAAAACCTTGAGACCCCCCCCAAAACCTCCCCAAATCGGGGTGGGGGGTCGGGGGGGGGGGTCTCCCCTTCCCCTCCCCTCCCCCCCCCCCCGTGATGTAATTATTTGAGTTGTTTCTTTTGTATCGTTCAGCCCCGGGGAGGGGGGGGTCCGGGGGTCCCCCCAAAATGGGGAGGGGGGGCCCCAACCAGCACAGCAGGGCCAGCCCCCCTCCCCCACCCCTCCCGCAATGGGTTTTTTATAGGATTTGGGGGTGGGAGTGGGGGTGGGGGCAGATTTGGGGTCCCCCTGCCCCCCCCCCCCCGCTGACACTAACAAGTCTCAAGCTCTTTGTAGCGGGGCGGGGGGGCCTTATTTTATTGTATTATGATTTTTTTTATTATTATTAAACTTTGGAGGTTAAAAGGGGGGTCTGAGGTTATTTGGGGGGGTTAAGGAGGGGTCTGGGTTTGGGGGGATTTGGGGAGGGGTCAGTTATGCTGAGGGGTTGGGATTTTGGGGTGTTCGGGGGTTTTGAGGGTTCAGAGGTTTTGGGGGGCTTCAGGTTTTTTGGGATTTGTGATTTTTGTTTGGGATTTCGAGGTTCAGTATTTTGGGGGTTCGGGATTTTGGGGGTTCGGGGTTTTGGGGGGTTCGAACTCCCCGCGCAGCCTCGTGGGGGCGCTGGCGGTGCCGCCTCCCCATTGGCCGCCGGCTCCACCAATGGGCGCGCGCGAGGGGCGGGGCTCAGGCGCGCGCGGGAACCTCCGCCCGGAGCCCGTCCCGGTCCCGAGGGGAAAATCCCCTCCCTGCGCTGAAAATGCTCTTTCGTGAGGTAAAATTCACCTCTTCTGAGGTAAAAACCTACTTGGCTGAGGGTAAAACCTTCCCCCCTTCGGTAAAACACCGCCTTTCCGGAGATAAAATTTCCCTGTTCTAAGATGTGACATGTTACATGAGATAAAACCCAATTCTGTGAGGTAAAATTTACCTTTCTGAGGTAAAAATCCACTTTTCTGAGATAAAATGCTCCTTTCATGTAGAGAACAATGTTTTTTTCCATGAGATAAAACGCTCTTTAAGTGAGGTAAATTTTATATTTCTGAGGCAAAATCTGCTGCCCCGAGGTAGATAAAAAGGGGTGAAAAGTTCTTTTTTGTGGTAAAAATGAGGTAAAACATGTCCCTTTCTTGAGGTAAACCCTTGATTTATGAGGTAGAGTTCACCTTTCCTGAGATAAAAATCCCCTTCCTGAAGAGAAGAACACTTTCATGAGATGAAACCCTCTCCAGTGAGTGAGGTAAAGTTTCCATTTTCTGAGGTACAGTCCTCCCTTCATGAGGGGAGAAATGCTTTTTCCTAAGGTAAAACCTTCTTTTGTGAGGTAAAATTTACTTTTGGTTGGGTAAAAACTCCTTTTCTGAAGTAAAATTCCCCTCCTTGAGGTGAAAAATGCCCTTTTTTGCAGTTAAACCCTGTTTCATGGGGTAAATTTTACTCTTTTTGAAGTAAAACATTGCCATTTCTTCAGATAAAACCTTTGTCTCTGAGGCAGAATTTACCTTTCCTGAGGTAAAATCCCCCTCTCTCAGGTAAAACCCCTCTTGTGAGGTAAAATTCACTTTTTCTCTGATTAAAAAAATCCTTTTTTCTGGTTTAAAACTCCACTCTGTGAAGTAAAATCTCTAGTCTGTGTTAATTCCTCTATTTGCAGTAGAACTCCTTTGCTTGAAGTAAATTCTGCTTTTTTGGACATAAAACCCTCATTTTTGAGGTAAAATCTTTCCTGAAGTAAAATCCCCATTTCTGAGGTGAACATTCGGGAAACAGAACACCTCCTTTGTAATGTAAAATTTACTTCTTCTGATGTGATAAAATCCTTTCTCCTGATGTAAAATCCTCCCCCTTTTTTTTTTTCTTTTTTGCAGTCCCTCCTTTTTGGGTGTAAATCTCGCTTTTCCTGAGGCAAAACTACTTTTTATTTTGAGGGAAAAACACCTCCTTTTCTTGGAGTAAAAAACGTTTTTAGGCAAAATCTTTTTTAAAGGATTTTTTTCGGTAATTATCCCTTTTCAAGAGGGAATATTCCTTTTTGAGAACAATTCCCCCATCCCCAGGAGGTAAATGTCTCATTTCCTGAGATAAATCTCTTTTTTTTTTTTTTTTTTTTTTGAGGGGGAAAAATTCCTTTTTGGAATAAAAACTTCCTTTTTGAGAAGAAACATCATTTTGTCTTAAGAAATGTCCTTTTTCCTGAAATAAAAACCTCCTTTTTGAGCACTCCTCCCTGACGTGATTATACCTTTTCCAGTGGATAAAAAAAAACATATTTTAAGAAAATTCTTTTTCCACCCTTATAAAAGTTTTATTTTCTTTGAGGGATTTTTTTTGGTAGGTTGTTTTGTTTTGTTTTCTTTGAGGGGAAACTCTTGCTTTATTGAATAAAAACTTTAATTTTTTTGAGGTAAACATCTTTTTTCCTTAGGAAAACCCTCCTCTGTGCAGCAAATTTAAGGCAAATAACCTTTTTCTAGAGGAGAACTCATCTTTATTTTTCTGAGGAAAATTCCTCCTTTATAAATCCTTTTTGTTTTTTGATGTAACTCCCTCATTTTTCTAAATTGAGGCAAAATTCCTCTTTTATTTTGAGTAAAAATATCCTTTTGGAGGGAAAAAAGTAGTTGATGTGGGGATATATGTGGTTTTGGACGGGTTTTTTGAAGAAAAAACTTTTTGAGGTCAATACCCCTTTTTCTGAGGGAAAAAATTCATTTTCTGATGATACTTACCCTCCACCTTTAATGCGTATCACTAAAAAAAATCCTTTTTTTTGAGGTAAATCCCTTACTGTTTTGAGAAAGTCTCCCTTTCCCTTAGGAAAGCACGGTTTGGTTATTTTGAAGGAAAACACACTTGGTTTTGAGTAAAATCTTCCTTTTTTTTGAGGCAAATACCCCTTATCCTGAGGGAAAACCCCACCTTTTTCAGGGAAAAAAAAAAAAAAAAAAAAACAAAAACCATCCCTGAGGCAATTTACCTTTTTCAGAGAAAAACCCTCCTTATGTGAAGAAAAAAAATCAAAACCTTTTTGATAAAAATCCCTTTTTTTCCTGAGGTAACTTTGCCCTCATAAAGTCTGGCGCCGGGTTTTAGAGCCGTGAGGGAAACACTCCTCATCCTGAGGGGAAAACCCCACCTTATTCAGGAAAAAAATCCCAATCTCTGAGGTAAATACCCCTTTTCCAGAGGAAAACCTGTATGCAAAGAAAAGAAATCAAAACCTTTTTGATAAAAATCCCTTTTTTTCCTGAGGTACCTTTGCCCTCACAAGGTCCAGCGCGGGGTTTTAGAGCCTTGAGGGAAACACCCCTCATCCTGAGGGGAAAAACCCACCTTTTTTCAGGAAAAAAAATCTCTGAGACAATTTACCTTTTTCAGAGGAAAACCTTCCTTGTGTGAAGAAAAAAATCAAAACAATTTTTATAAAAATCCCTTTTTTCCTGAGGTAACTTTGCCCTCACAAGGTCCAGCGCGGGGTTTTAGAGCCTTGAGGGAAACACCCCTCATCCTGAGGGGAAAAACCCACCTTTTTTCAGGAAAAAAAATCTCTGAGACAATTTACCTTTTTCAGAGGAAAACCTTCCTTGTGTGAAGAAAAAAATCAAAACAATTTTTATAAAAATCCCTTTTTTCCTGAGGTAACTTTGCCCTCACAAGGTCCCTCGTCGGTGCCAGGTTCTAGAGCCAGCCTTGCGCCCCCGGATTTAAAGCCTTGGAGCAAATACCCCTTATCCTGAGGGGAAAAACCCACCTTTTCCAGGAAAAAACCCATCCCAGAGGCAATTTACCTTTTTCAGAGGAAAACCTTCCTTGTGTGAATCAAAAAATCAAAACAATTTTTATAAAAATCCCTTTTTTTCCTGAGGTAACTTTGCCCTCACAAGCCCCCTCGTCGGTGCCGGGTTCCAGAGCCGCCCCATTCACCCCGCTGTACCGGGTTCCAGAGCCGCCCCGTTCAGCCCCGCGGTACCGGGTTCCAGAGCCGCCCCGTTCAGCCCCCGGTACAGGGTTCCAGCCCCGTTGTGCCGGTTCTAGACCGCGCCGGCCCAGCCCATCTCGTCCGCCAGCTCCTCCTCCGCCGGCGGCCTCAGCGGTTCCTCGTCGCTGTAGACAGCGGGCGCGGGCGGGGTGCGGCGCCGGGTCAGCAGGTCGGCGGCCGCGCTCTCCATCTCGTCCATCGTCATGTCGCACGCGTCCGCGATCTCACGCTTGGCCACCGCCACGAACTTGGGGTCGCGGGCGAACAGCCCCAGCCCCTCCGAGATCAGCACCTGGGTTGTGGGGGGCAAGGGGGAGGCGCTGGCACCGGAGGCGTGCCAGTGTCCTCCGGTGTCCCTCTCCTTACTCGCTGCCTCCACCAGGCTGCTGGCCAAGCCTTGGGGTGTCCCCAGTGTCTCCCCTCACTACTTCCACCAGGCTGTCGGCCGAGTAAAGTCACCCCATGTGTGCCCCCCGTGTCCCCCCACTCACGGCCTCCACCAGGCTGTCGGCCGAGCCTCGGGCCAGGGCATCGTGGGGCCCGCAGGGCCGCAGGCGCAGCGGTGCCGGGGGGAACCAGCGGTTGAGCGGGGGCAAGCTGCCCCCCGCCGCCGGAGCCCCCTCCACCAGGATGAGCGGCGCGTACAGAACGTGCCCGCGGGCCGGGGCTGCCCAGGCCTGCGAGGAGCCTCCCAGGCGCCACGTCTCGGAGCTGCCGTAGCCCTGGGGGCGAGAGGGGGTCAGTGCGGGGGTGGCACTGTCACAGTGTTCCCCCACCTCGTCTGTCTGCCCCATCTCCAGCAGTACCTGCGGGCGGGCAGGGCCGGGCGGGCCCGAGGGGTTGTACGTGCCCGGGATGGGCTCGTCTTCGCAGCTACCCTGGCGTCGCAGGCACTGGATGGTGAAAGAGGGCTTCCGGCCTGGGGGCAGCGGGCAGGGTCAGCCCCCGGCCACGGACCCTCCGGAAAACCGGGCAGGGTCATCCACCCTGCCTAGAGACCCTCTGGACTACCGGAGGGCACCAAGCAGGGTCACTTTCCCCGGCCACGGACCCTCCGGGCACCGGGCAGAGTCACCCCCTCAGCCAGGGACTCGCCGGGATACTGGGGGGCACCGGGCAAGGTCCCCGGGCAGAGTCACCCCCTCAGCCAGGGACCCTCAGGGGCACCGGGCAGGAGCCCTCTGGGCTATTGGAGGGCACCAGGCAGAGTCAGCACCAGCTTTAGGAACATTCTGGGGCACCTGTGGGCACGGGAAGGGGTCAGCCCCTATCAGGGATCCTTCCTGGGCCACGGCGGGACACCACCCTCCCCATCGGGGCACCACGGAGGGTCATCTCCCCCTGCCATCAGCCCCAGGGACCTCCCGGGGATACCGGGGAACCGTCCCGGGCTCGGTCAGCGCTGCCGGGTGCGAGTATGGAGGGTGTCGATGGAGGTCCCGGCCCCTCCTTTGCCCCCCGGCCCCGCCGTACCCGCGGGGGTCGGGGGCAGGAGCCGGCGCCGTTTCAGTTGCTGCCCCTCGCGAGCGCCGCCGAGCGCGAAGTGCCGGGGGGGCAGCGGCAGCGACCCCCCCCGGGGCAGCTCCGCCGCCCAGCGCGGGGGTCCCGGTGTCCTGGGGGGAAACAAGGCGGGTCAGTCGGGGCTGGGAACATCCCCTGGGACACCTCCCAGCGCGGGGTCAGGGGGTGGCAGGATCACCCCGTCCTGGGACGGGTCCCTCCAGTGCCCCCTCCCCAGTTACAGGCACTGGGACATCGTCAGGGCGGGCGGGACGCCCCCTCCCCAGCTGCAGGGACCTCTCCAGATGGGGCTGTCCCCCAGCGGCTCGGGGGTCGCGGTACCTGTCCCCGGCCCAGCGGCGCCGGGCCGGTGCCGAGTTCTCCAGGTCCTCATCGTGGCTGATGTCCCCCGGGTCCCCTCCCGGCTCCTCCGCATCCTCGGCGGGCGCTTCCTCGTCCTGGTCCCCACCGTCGGAGCGCCTCCTGCGCACAGGGCCATGGGCACCCCCCGTCCTCCCCGGGACCCCCGCCCCGTGTCGGGGGGTCCCCAGCCCCCCGTACCTGCTATGGGAGGGGGGCGCAGGGTCCTCCCGTTCGGTGGGAGCGGGGCTGGGGACGGGGGGCGGCTCTGAGAGCAGGGGGGAGCCGGGAGCAGAGCCGTAGAGCGTCTCGGGGGCCTGCGGAGAGAGGCGGGTCGGTGGGCGCAGCCATGGCACAGGTGTGGACATTCGGTGTGGATTTTGGACAGGTGTGGATGGTGAGCATGGCCGTGGCACAGGTGTGGACATTCGGTGTGGATTTTGGACAGGTGTGGCCGATGGGCGTGGCCGTGGGACAGGTAATTTGGTGTGGATTTTGGACAGGCGTGGCCTGTGGGCGTGGCTAGTGTGGGACAGGTGAGGCTGGTGGGCATGGCCAAGGGAAAGGTGTGGTCGGTGGGCGTGGCTCACTGCGTAGGTGAGTGGCTCCTCCGAAGGGGCGTCCCCGCCCTCGTCCCCCTCCAGGTCACTCAGTGCCCGGCGCATCTCGGGGCCCAGCGCCTGCAGCGTCTGCAGCCCAGCCTGGGGGGACACAGGAGGGTCGGGGGGGGTCACCTGGTGACACCTGGGACCCCCAGCCCCGCCCCAGGGGGAGGGGGTCGCACCTGCAGCGCACACTCGTTGCTGGGGCCTGCGCTGGCGCCCAGCATCCCCCGCTCCTTCCGCCGCCGGAACTTGCGGAAATAGTCCTGGATCAGGAAGGTGGCGTAGAACTTCCCGACGGTGACCTCCTCCTCTGGGGGACACGGAGGGTCAGGGGGCAGCGGGGCTCTGAGGGGACAGGGCAGGGGACACGGCCCTCACACACCCTCGGGCGGGGGGATGACCTCGTCCAGCAGCTTCGGCTTCGTCCTCTTCCAGATCTTCTTCACCACAGCCCGAAGCTCCTTGTTGGCCACATCCAGGTTCCCTACAGGGAGGGGGGACACGCAGCCATGACTGTCACCCCCTGCTGTCCCCTGCCCCCTCCAGACCCTTGTGCTCCCCACCTTCCGTCTTGATCTTGAGGGAGGTGCGGACCAGGGCGAAGAGCGTCGCGTTGAAGGTGACGGTCCCGTCTGAGTTGAGGGGCATGTTCATGGCCACCAGGCGCTGGGCAGGGGACACGAGGGGGTGAATCTGGGGGGGCTCCCCGCAGGAGCACCCCATATCCCCCCCCAAGGACCCCCCCAGACCTTGCAGGCCACGCGGTGCGGGCAGAGCTTCCCAAAGCCCAGCGGGGGCTGGATCCGGCGCAGCAGCGTCACCACGTCCAGGTGCTTGATGCGGCCCCTGGGGAGGGGACACAGGAGGTCATGGGTGGCCTGGCCACCTGGCCTCCCCTGCAGCTGGGGACAAGGGGACAGTCACACACTTGGCCGCGGGGTCATACTCGGACCACACGCGCTTGAACTCGTCCAGGTGGTGCGGGCCCAGGATGGACCAGTCGCGTGTCAGGTAATCAAAGTTGTCCATGATCACAGCCACGAACAGGTTGATGATCTGGGGGGGCCAAGGTGGGGCTCAGGACGCCCACAGGGGTCCTGAGGGGCGTGGGGCAGCGCTGGGGCCATGGGGCAGGTCCCGTGGCTCACCAGGAAGGCGCAGAGCATGAAGAAGCTGATGAAGTAGGCGATGGCGAAGTTGCTGCCGCAGGTGAACTCTTCCCCCGGGCCCGCATCCGACTCGGGGTCGCAGCGTTTGCCCGGCAGGCTGGCCAGCATGATCTCCTGCCATGCCTCCCCTGTGGCACACCTGCACCCACGGGACACACCTAAACCCCTGGGGTGCACCTGTACCCCTGGGGCACACCTGAACCCCTGGGGGACACCTGCACCCCACGGGAGACACCTGAACCCCTGGGGCACACCTGTACCCCTGGGGCACATCTGTACCCCTGGGGCACACCTGCACCCCTGGGACACACCTGTACTCCTGGGGCACACCTGCACCCCACAGAACACACACCCCTGGGGCACACCTGCACCCCACAGGACACAGGTACCCCTCTGACACACCTGCACCCCTGGGGCAGATCTGTAACCCCCTTCATGATTCACCGAGAGGAAGCTCCCAAGTTCCATGGGAAGCCCAGAGCCCCCCAGAACCCCCCAGAACCCCTCAGAGCCCCCCAGAACCCCTCAGAGCCCCCCAGAACCCCTCAGAGCCCCCCAGAACCCCCCAGAGCCCCCCAGAACCCCTCAGAGCCCCCCAGAACCCCCCGGGCCCCGTCCCCACCTGAAGAGCAGCAGCACGGCCTGCGGGAAGGTCTGGAAGTTGTTGTTGCGGTTGATCTGGGTCCCATCCTGCAGTGCCACCTTCCCGAAGGTCTGGGGGGGACACGGGGGGCCTGGGTGGCCGGGGGCTTACAGGAGACCACCCCCCACATCCTTCACCTGCCCCCGGGGCCCCTCACCTGCATCCCAATGACGGCATAGATGAAGAAGATCATGGCGATGAGCAGAGCGACGTAGGGCAGGGCCTGGGGATGGAGAGGGCATCAGGGGGTGCTGAGGGGTCCCCCCTCCATGTCCCCTTTCTCCTGTGTCCCCCACCGTGTCCCCCCCACCCCACCTGGAAGGACTTGACGAAGGTCCAGAGCAGGGTGCGGATGCCCTCGCCCTTGGAGAGCAGCTTCACCAAGCGCATCACGCGGAAGAGCCGGAAGAAGGTGATGGAGATGCGGGAGCTGTCCTCCGAGCTCTGCGGGGAGCGGGTCAGGAGCACCCCAAAACCCCTGCGCAGCCCCCCCAGAGACCCCCAGCTGGGGACACCTCCCCGTACCTCACCAACGTGCCCCCCGTTCTGTGACAGGCAGATGG